TGGTTTAATTACCTAAGGCATGTTAGGTTTAGTCGAAGGAACTATGTACCCTTGTTTGGTACATGTTCTCACATGTCATTTCTTGTGCTTGTTGTTCGCTTCAATTAACTAAGGTATATTATGTTTAGTTCGGGACCTCTGTACCCTAGTTCGGGTACATGTTCTTACATGCCATTTCATGTGTTTTGTGTGTTGAATTATATAATGCCCTACTTCGTTAGGGTTTTGTTTTAAAGACGTGATCATATTTCACTACGTCCGTAATATTAAACTAAATATTATAACCACAAATAATGAAAATAACTACGTAATGAAAAGTCTAATACTATGACACATTAAACAACATAATAATACTAGAAGTACGTGCCGACAAATTAAATAAACAAATAAATGACCTAAGTATTCCTATACTTAAAGTGCATTACAACATAATGAAAAGCCTAATAGTAGACAACATTGTTCATGAATAAACCATAGAACTAGCCAAGTAATGGAGACTCATCGAGTGCAACGAGGCCACTTTCCCTTCCTCAGGGTATCGGGAATCTCCTTCATCGCTGCTTTCGCTCGGCTTGCACGCTCAAGCTTCTTCTTCCTCTCCTCCCTGTATGCAGCAATACGCCTCCTTTCCTCCTCTTCCTTGTGCTCCTTTTTTGCAGCCTTCTCTCCGCATCTCTTCTCCATCATCTCCTTGTCCTCTGCCTCCCACCGCAATAGTTTCTGCATCCATTCTTTGTCTTCAGGCTTGATCTCAGTGTCGATCCACTGCTCAAAATCACAGAGCGGTGGAGGGTCTCTAAAAAAAGGCAATTGTTACAAAACAAAAAATCATGCAAGATGTCATATGACACAAACATCAATTCCTCATCATCTTGTTGTCTGGCTACTGACGAAGTGTAGGCTCAAACGTAACACCTCGGTGTTTAAAATACTAAAACGACATGTCATCATATGCATTGCAAAGCATTTGGCATTTGGTGAAAACTTTGAGATGCATACACTAAAACAAGTTTATATTCATGTGGTATGTGTTGAATTGTATTGGTTGACTCTAGTTCAAAGTTTGTTTGGATTTTGAATTTTCGAGAAAACCCCGCTTTTCAAACATTTAAATCCTACCCCGAAAATCCATTTCAAAATCTAGACCGAATTAGGAGATGGTTATAGAAGCAAAGTTGTAGAACTTTCGATTTTGAACAACTTTTGTTTTTGGAGATTTTGAGTTGTTATGAAAATTTGAGAGTAATTTGTGAATTTTGGCGTGTGGCAATTTTGTAATTTCGTGAGAATGTGTTCACCGCCTAAGCTTACATTGCCGTCGAACCTTCTTCGGCGTTCGGTAGCGTCGTGGCCATCCTTGATGTCGCTATTGGCAGCACGGAAACGGGCTCCGTCGTGGTGGCTTCCTTTGAGCTTCGCGCCGCGCTATAAGTACCAAGACGTCGTCATCGTCGTTTTCTTCTTCCTTTGTTTTTTCACCACCGCCGTTGTCATCGCTCCATCAAGCTCGATCGTCTCCCCAGTATTTGTTGCCATCTCGGTAAAGGCCGTCCCTAGTTCCATCTTTTCCTTGCGAATCCGGCCCACCTAACATTGGTCGCCTAAAATTGCCGAGAACTTCATTGGCCCACGTTTTTTCTTCCTCGAGGTCAAGAACTTCACATTCTGGCGGTGTCATCGTGGCGAGCCCTTCGGTGAGCCGTTGTCTGTAATCAGTGTACTTACGGCTTCGTTTCGATGCTGTAGTCCTTAGTCAGTTGTTATTTACTCATTTTGATCACTGCAGTCGCCGGTTCTCCCTCACCGACGATCTTTGCTCCGCATAGTTCACCGTAGTGGTCGGATAGTTCACCGTAGTGGTCGGATAGTTCACCATAGTGGTCGGATAGTTCACCGTAGTGGTCGGAGAGTTCACCAAAGTGATCGGTGCTGGCGTGGTCACATCAGTTACGAATATGGTTTGGTTAGTTTGGTTTGTAACTGTACTGCGAAGGAAAATTGTATCCAATTTATTAATTTTTGCATCCATCATCGAGCATCATGTTTCATATTCCGCATCATGTTAAACATGGCAATGTTACTACATGTAGTAAACGAAGGTGAACATGTGGTAGTTAATCAAGTTGCGGAGGAGGTTGATCTGTCTGTTGAGGTCGGATCGAAGACTTGTGAAACGTCGCAGGAGCCGGACTTTTCCGTCAACGAAGGCAAGCCCCAGATGCATACAACCCAACCTTGTATTTTACAAATTAATTTCGCTTTTGCTTTCCGTTACTACATTAAGTGATTAAGAGTTAAGTAAGAGCCTAATTGGTGCATTACCACCCTTGTTATTCCATATTTACCATATTACCAGTTTTGAACTCGTATATGCCTAGTTTTGCTTAGTTATGCGTAGAACGATGAAGTCGGTGACTACCTGCCACCTGCAAGTTTTAAATGGAACATTAGTTAATTATGTTAGCATGTGATATGGGAATGTGGAGTAATAAATCTAGACCGGGCGGACTCGGTGTGTGTGAGCCACAAGACATGGAGGTCTTGTGAGCGGGATCTTTCCGCCTGTGTCGATTAAGGCACGTCCGTTGTTGAATTGCATGAGGTGAGAATTTGTAGTACTAACCACATACTCCGGTAAGCCTGAACTTGGCAATTCTATTACGAGAATGGCTACTCGCGCACTGGGAGTGGAGAGATGGCGGGAATAGCGTGTACCCACGTGGCAATGGGCTGGATTGGTGGAGTACTGTATTCTCGGGTGGCGTGGACCCGTTCTTGTTTTAGAGGATCCGAGAATAGGTTGGTATATGTAGGTCAGGGACCTGCATATGTCGTGTGGTCTGGAATCCCCAGCTGGGTTTATAATCGGTTCGAATCGTCGTTGCTCCTCGGTTATGGAGACTCAACTCACTGTTCATCATCGTAGTAATTAATAACTGGAACTTGAGAATGGTTGATGAAGGTGTTGGATATGAAGTTTCATGATCTCATTACGGATCGTGTCATCTTTGTATATGATTTTATGAAGTTTAAACTGTTGAAACAAAGAATTTTGTCAAAGAGCTTTTACGCAAAATAACTTTGATTATTGCTAAAACCATACCTTGAATCCCTGAGCCTGCATTCCTGAGTTATCAGTTCTTATTTCGGTTAAGTCTTGTTGAGTACTTTTGTACTCAGGGTTCGTTGACCCTTGTTGCAGGTGAGCCTCATGAGCAGATCTGTTTTGGATCGTGCTGCATGACAGTTGTACCTTGTGATGACGTTGAGAAGTAATTGTGTGGCCCTTGGGCAGGGCAGCCTCATTGTGTGTTTTGTATTATATTATAATGCCGCTCCACTACTTTGGTTTGTATTAATATCGAACTTAGTTGTACGGTTTGAAACAAATGGTTTGTAAACTATGTTATTGTAAGTCTTCCGCTACTTTTACTCTGATGTGTCTATTTGAATAAACTGTTGTAATACTACAATGACTCTGTAACGTGATCCTGCTCGGAAATCGTGGATGATTCGGGGTTCCCCGAGGACGCCCGACAGACTTCTTAAGTTACCAGGAACATATGCATTGTTGTCAAAGGTCTTTGGACAGTGACAAATGTATGTGGGTCCTATAATTTAGGAGGTTCTGCCACAAAACGCAAAATTGAAACACATCCAAAACCTCTGCCTATACATGTCCTCTTCATCGGACTTGGCTACCTTACAAGGATCGCCGCAAAAGCACATGGGCACTGGAACACCAGAGGCAATTGATCGAAGGCATTTTCGGTCATCCGGTCATAAGTACAATTTAGCCATTTTCGTTCTAAGAACCGAAAGCAATTAACATTAAACCCTATACCTAGGGTTTTCTATTTGATCCACAACAATGAACCCATATCATAACAATGTGCGCTGAGGTTATCTTGGTTTGGTAGCTTTTCCACGCCTCGGTATCCTACGGTTGTATAATATAAATATTAAGATTGCATGAAACCCTAAGTAATGACGATTCTTAAGTTCAAAAATCCAACTAATATATACCGAATCGATTTAAAAAAACTAGGAGGGAGCGAAGATACCTTGCTCTCGAAGATTTACGGATCAAATCAAAGTTTCCAATGTCTAATATGCCGATTCGTGAGGTAGGGCGAAGTGGGAAAAGAAAAAACTCGAGAGAGAGGAGAAAGAAGAGGAGGAAGGCTCGGGCAGGAAGGTTGGACGCCGGGTTAAAACACCACATCGGCGCCATAGATCTTGGCACCGTTCTCGGAGCCAATAACCACGGCGCCAAGCTCGGCGCCAAGGTGCCTGCTAAGTCACCGCCACGTCTGCGCCGAGCCCAAGACCTAGGCACCAAAATCTATGGCGCTGAGACGTGTAAGCTCGGCGCCACCAACGATGACGCCGAGCTAAAGGTTCAGATTTTAAAGACATACATCCAGGGATATATTTATGAAATTTTTTCAAAAAAAAAGTAAAAACAAAAAAAATTCAATCCCCTGCGGTCACGAGGCGCTCCCATGCTCCACTGCGATGATACAACTAAGGGCGCGTTTAGTTTGAAAATTTTTTTATTTTTGTTCGTCACATCGAATTTTTGGACGCATGTATGGAGCATTAAATATAGATGAAAAAAAACTAATTACACAGTTAGGTGAGAAATCGTAAAATGAAACTTTCGAATATAATTAGTCTATAATTAGACACTAATTATAAAATACAAACGAAAATGCTACTATAACCAAACCCAAAAATTTTCGCCAACTAAACATGCCCTAAGCAGAACTGCAGCAGCGCAAAGTGCAAGCGCCACAGACGCACCAAACCTGCAACAAAGCACTGCTCACCTCCCCGCAGACCCCGCTCTCTCTCTCTCTCTCTCCCCAGTTGCTCCCTATCCTATTCGTCTAGTCTAGATCCAAGAAGAGGAGGCAAGAAGGCAGGAAGCTTTGGAGGAGCTGTAGGAACACTGTAGATCCAGCCAGTGGCAGATTTGGAGGGAGGAGGGTACGTGCATGGCCAGCAGCAAGTGGTGGGAGCAGGCGGCTCTGGACTTCCCGCCGCCGCAGCAGCACCAGCACCAGCAGCCGCAGCCACACCACCAGGCGCCGGCGCTAGCCACGGCGCCAGCAGCTCCCACGGCGCCCGCGGGGGCCTCGCCGGAGGGCGGCGGCAAGCAGCAGGGCCAGCAGCAAGAGGCGGGGGCGGCGGCGGGGGCCATCGTGCCGCTGCGTCGGCCGCGGGGCCGGCCGCTGGGGTCCAAGAACAAGCCCAAGCCGCCGGTGATCATCACGCGGGACAGCCCCGACGCGCTCCACTCGCACGTGCTCGAGGTGGCGCCGGGCGCCGACGTGTCCGCGTGCGTGGCGGAGTACGCGCGCCGCCGGGGCCGCGGCGTCTGCGTCCTGGGCGCGTCGGGCGCGGTCGGGGACGTGGCCGTGCGCGGCGCCGCGGCGCCGCTCCGGGGGCGGTTCGAGCTCCTCTCCGTCACGGGCACCGTGCTGCCTCCACCGGCCCCGCCCGAGGCGTCGGGCCTCGCCGTGCTCGTCTCCGCCGGCCAGGGCCAGGTCCTCGGCGGCTGCGTCGTGGGCCCGCTCGTCGCCGCCGGGCCCGTCACGATTTTCGCCGCGACCTTCGCCAACGCGGTCTACGAGCGCCTCCCGCTCGCCGATGCCCCCGAGCTCCTCGACGTCAAGCCCGACCTCTCCACCGCTACCTCGGCTGGTGGGCAAGATGTGCAGCAGCCACAGCTGCCAATGGTGCCCTCCCAGCAACCTCCTCTGGCCATGGGCGCGGGCGGCTACGCTGACCACCGCTCGCCGCCGTACCCGTGGGGAGGCGGCGTATGAGATGAGCCGCAACCGATGTATCATCCTTCCCGGCGGCGTTCTTGGTTTTCTTGGTCCTAACATTGACTAGAGAACTAGGTTTTGTCAAGGTAATTGTTGGGCTGGTACTGCACGCAGCATGCATGGAATTGATTCATTGGAGCCCAACCCTTCTTGGGCTCCTGTAATTTCCTTCTCCTTCGATTTGTGATTTTGTTGTGGGAAAATGGAGTGATTTGGCCACAGGGAGCCAAAGAATTTGGTGCATGGAGCATTAGATCAGCATGCTGGTGCTTGCAAATTACTCTAGCAAATTTAGCAGGTAGGCTGGAACCAAGTGTTTTAATTGTGTGATGGGCTAGCTCTGTGGTTAAATGAGGTGAGTGTTCTTGTTTAATGGAGATTGGTACTCTATTTAGGCGAGTCAACGAAACTCACTTACCACTACATCACATTTCTTCTCTTTTGATTTGGTAACACTAGCTGTCTACATGTGATTAGTACACTCATGAGAAAACTGAGATTCCGTTGCTAAATTATGCTGCTGTGTCACTCACTACTCCCCAGCTAGCCGGATACATAGATTTGGTTTCATTTGATCTTTTGATTACTCCATCTAGCTTTTGGCATGCTTCGTTCTCCGAACTTCATGATAATTTGGTTTTGCTTTTGCTTTTAAATCCATCGCTTCCATTTTGCCATGCTCTATCCCACTTTATTACCCATGGTACAATGCACTTTCTGATTGGGTTTGCAGAATGCATGTACTTCCCTAGCTCAAATCCTAGTTAGTACTATGCTAGGCTGCTACCACATGCTTTGTATTCTTCACCTCTCACATTTTGGGGCCTTTTTTGAAAGCACAAATGAAGAAAGAAGAAAAAAAAACATTAACCGTGTAGAAATGTAAGCAAAATAAAGAAAGGAAGAAAGAAATCAAAATAAAAAAAAATCAAAGAGAGGATGAAGTTCATGTAAAAAATTCCTCTAAAATCATGGTAGAATTGCAAATTCTTATAGATTAGTAGCACGCCATTTCACCCCTTTGTTCCAACAAAGATTCAATTAATTTCTTTGAACAATTTTTAGTGGGTTATTTTTTTTTTCGTGCTAGGCCCTTCCACCCGGGCGCCTTTCGGTCACTGTGTTGGCTGGGTGCCAACCGTGCTCTTCTCCCTTCTCCGAATCTGAGATATCCATTCCTAATCGCCATTGATCTTTAGGATTTCTCTACACTTTATTTATCAGTAGTTTATTGTATTTCTTTAATACATAATATATCTGTCTCTTTCTCAAAAATCATGGAGTTGAACTTCATGTTAGAATATCTCTTTCTTTACTAATAGGAGTACTACGCACTTCTATTTTAATCACTATACTATTATACTATAGTTTCCCCTTAGTATCATTATTATTTTGTTAAAAGTTACGAGTGTCTTTCACTGTCCACGCTGGCGTTTGCTGCTTATGGTCCCAGAAGCTGTGAAAAAAAAAGACTCAAGACTGGTGGAGCCAGTTATAGCTACGGTCAAGCATAAGCCAAGAGCTAAGATCAAGCTTAAGTCAAACTGGCGAGCCTAGTGTGATCAAGCACGAAAAGCTTCAGTAAGTTTGAGATCAGTGTGATGAGGTCCACAAATGCATTATCCAAATCTTCTATATCCACAAAATGTTTAAGGTTTCCCGAACTGCTTGACTCATCTTAGGCATGACTATAGATTGACTTGAATTACAAACAATGAGAATTCTTTCTATATGCCTTTGGCAAAAAAATTTATAACAGCTGTGCCATAAAAATTTCAAATCCTAGCAACTATTCATAGATTTTAATCTGTTTTCACGCCATTGTTGATCATATTCCGATAGTCTTGGCTAATAGACAAAAAAAATTATCTTTTCTCTTAGTTGGACAGAGATTTAGTTGCTCCCTTTTATGGCCTCTAACTGAGCATATGATGTAGAATATTGGACTAGTGTGCAACCTTGGAACTTTGAAAAAAATCTATTCACTTGAGATGTAGGTACATATGAGGAGTATCCAGCAGGCTTACCCTCCACAACTATTGGCACACTCGCAGTCGAACAATAGCATGAGTGCAGCCAGCCAACCGAGTAGCAGCAACCACGCAACCCACATCGCCCACACACCGAGCAAACCCACGTAGCTGACAACCTAGCATGTTCGGTTGGCTGATTCATTTCGTTGCTGGTTCGTAAAGAAGTACTGTTGGTTGGTTTATGTGAGAGAAAAATACTGTTCCGGCTGAAAATTTACGATCGAAGTACTGTTGGCTGGTTTGTGTGAGAGAAAAATACTGTTCCGGCTGAAAATTTACGATCATTTACGACAAGCCACAGCCAAACTAACAGGCTGACGTACACACCACCCGTTCGATCAAAGATCCATCTCCGCCACATACTTCCTCGCTGAGTTCGCTCATTGTTGACCTCCTTTTTACGATGTGAGGATGACTAGTAGGAGCAATACAAATAATATCTGGATGTCCATATGCTTACTTAGACAATTACCTTGGTACGGAAGAGATTATAGTTTAACACCCACAGCATACACGAGAATCATGATTTTCAGCTGCTCGCGTGCTCAGCTGCTGTAGCTGCAGGCCGCAGCCATAAACACAACCTGCCAAACAAACCGTATTCACTCTCACCTGAATAACAACCCAGCATCGTCTGCTTGGAATTCTTGTTTCTATGTTTACCTGTAAAATTAAGTTGATTTTTTACAAAATTCATGCATGATTTCTATAAAATTCCTAAAAGGCCTCAGTAGATGTTCTTGGGGCTAGTCTTTTTTTTGAGCGAACAGTTCTTGGGGCTAGTCTTTGTTCTGCTTTTATGGTAAAGCACCATAGTATCGATGTTTTGTAAAGCAGATACAGCCTGCCATTGAAGCTTCCAAAGCGAGCCATTGTATGTGCTTGTGCAGTACTCCTAGAATCCTTGCCTTCCATCCCATTTTCTCGCTTTTGAAGTCTTTGACACATCAGAGAAAGAAAAGGATCAGCTGCTCTACGCACGCTGTCAGTGCCGAAACTCTTTACCTCGGATACTGGGAGACCTGCAACTTTACAGTACAGGTCTCAAAGCAACGAACGGCAGAGTTGAACTGCGCCGAAGAGCATAGACGGCACGATCTACTGTTGATCGATCATCTGTCCACGAAAAAGCCTTGAGGAGGGCAAATGATGCCGCCGAAGATGCCATCGCTGGGTTGGGTGCCGCCTGGGTCGTCGGACACGAAAGGTAGCAGCAGCAGCGGCAGCAGTAATGGTGTCTGAATTTGTTTGCTTGTCAGGTTGCCACTCTCTTCTCCACTGGGAGGCTGCGCCGCTGGGCGCTGGGCTCGCTACGCCTGGGGCACTGGGGCGGAGAGGAGAAGATAGTAGGCCATGCCAGATTGCCAGTGTAGAGGTCAGGGCAGCTGGGGCAGCAGGGCTGGGCTGCGCTGGAGGAGAAAGAGCAGTCCAAAGATTCTGCAGCTTTTAGTTCGCTGGCAGATTTGGCGCCGCCGGAATCTGTAACACTGTAGCACACTGTAGCATTTCGTTTGTATTGAGTAATAATTGTCCATTGGTTGACTAATTAGACTCAAAACGTTCGTCTCGTAAAGTACAACCAAACTATGCAATTAGTTTTTTATTTCGTCAACATTTAGTACTCCATACATGTACCACAAGTTTAATATGACAAAGAATCTTCTTTTTGTATAGTGTCAAAATTGAGAATTTGATGGAACTAATCAAGGGCTCAGTTCCGTGTAGTGTATGCATGGCCCCGTCATCAGTGGTTGTCAGTTCCTCCTTTGCTTGCATTGCATCGCTTCCTTCCAGGAGGATCGGTGCGTGCAGGTGCAGCGCCAGCGTGCTCCTGTGGCCGCTCTGTGCAGCTAGTGTCCCTGCTGTCCCCTGCTCACTGCTCCCTCTTCTGGTGTGTCTCGGTCTCTCGGACTGCAGGTCACACTGCCTTGTCATTGCTGTGAGACACGAGAGAGGAAGAGGACCGAGGACGAGCAAACGAGTTGACAAATGGGAAATTTTTATCCGTCGGACAGAGAGCGTGATTTTACGTACTCCGTCGGTCTCAAAACAGTGTCATTCTCACTTTAGAAGAAATCAAACGTTTTTAATTTTAACCAAATATATATAAAAATTTATGATATTTATGAAGCATAATAAATATTATTAGATTAATTGCTAAATATATTTTTATAATAAATTTATTCGAATATAAAAATATTGCTAATATTTTGTGATAAATCTAATTAAATTTAAAAAAGTTTAACGGGCACAGAGCTCACAACGGCACTTATTATAGGATAGACAGAGTAGAACATATCGTTAAAGTTGATTTTATCTCCCACATACTAAAATAAAGCATGGTTTAGTATACAACACACTACACCGAATAAATTAGTTACTTTCGATCGATAGGAGAGATAAAAGACCATTTTACGCTGTGGAAATTCGTTTCCTATATATTGGAATCGGTAATGCTACGGAACATACATCCGAAGTCTGAAAAAAACAGGATGCTCCGCGCTCGCTCCAGCACAGTGAACAGCCCAACAAGCACATCTACGCTCTCTTCTCTATCTACTCCATCTATAACTATAACAGTCGACAATAATCTCCAACTCCTAGCTTCACTTATCGCGGCTCACCGCGTCGTCCGCCCGCCCCAAGCTGCCTCACGACAGCGCCCCCATCCCACGTCGAGCCACACCACGTCTGCCGCCGCGCCGTGCTCCATCCCCGCCAAGCCGTGCCCCGTCCCTCGGCGCATCGAGGTGCTGCCGACGCCGTCGTTCTCCACCAGGAGGTCGTGGCCGCTGTCGACGCCGGCGCCACCGCGACGCTCGACCTCACTCACGACATCACGATATTAGAAGTCTCCAGACCTGGAGCGGGCTTCTCCGACTGCACCTCGCGCTCCCTTCCTTCCTTGGATGTTGCAAGCGCGTGTTGCAAGCGTATATTTCAAGTGTTTCAGATGTTTCATAT